TTTTAGTAGAGACGGGGTTTTGCCATGTTGGCTAGACTGGTCTTGAACTCCTGGCCTCAGGTGATCCACCTGCCTTGGCATCCCAAAGTGCTGGGATTACAGGCGTGAGCCACGGTTCCCGGCCACTGTACCTTCTTCTATCTGGCTTCTTCCACTCAATATTATGTTTATGAGATCCCTCCGGGTTGTTATGGGTAGCTGTCGATTGTTTATTCTCATTGCTGCTGTGTAGTATCTCATTGTGTGGACACCACAGTTTCTTCTCGAATTCTGCTATGGGTGGGCATCAGGATAAAAGCCAGCTTGAGGCTATTACCCACAGTGCAGCTTTTTGGTGAACATGTTTGTTGATGAATATGTTGTTGAACTGGACACCTGGTGACCCCAATAGGGATGTTACCAGGCCTTAGAGGCTGAAGAAGGAACTTGGAGCTAGCAAATGAGACATAGGGCTTATTGAGAACTTACATATGGGGGTGGTCGAGTGACGGCGAGCTGGACAGGATAACCGCTGTGATTTGTAACAAGCATCCTGTTTACATGGCATTTCCACTTAGCACCCACCACCCGGCACCCTCCACCCAGCAACCTCCATCCAACCTTGAACAAAGGGCCTCGATCTCCTAGATGGCCTGCATTCCAAGGGATGGGCTAGGGGTTCAGATGCCCTTCATTGATAAGGAATAAATCTCAGGATTGGCCACTCCCAGATTCCTTAGTTCGGAGCTCCAAACACAAATTCTTCTTGGACCATGACTCTTCTGTCTAAGAAGAGGGCTTAAGGGTATACTTAAGTTAATTGCTGTCAGGTGTGATGCTATGCAAGAATATACAATTTTGGTGGCACATACGCTGACTAACCTACAAAGACTTATTTATTATTTATTTGTTTATTTAATTTGAGACAGAGTCTCACTCTCTTGCCCAGGCTGAAGTGCAGTGGCACAATCACGGCTCACTGTAGCCTTGAACTTCTGGGCTCAAGCAATCCTACTGCCTCGGCCTCCTGAGTAGCTGGGGCTAGAGGCATGCACTATCACATTGGGCTAACTTTTGTATTTTTGTGCAGAGATGGGGTTTCACCATGTTGTCCAAGCTGGAGTGCAGTGATATGATCATAGCTCACTGCAGCCTCGACCTCCCGAGCTCAAGCAATCCTTCCATCTCAGACTCCCAAGTAGCCGGGACTACGGCACGCACCACCATGCCTAGCTAATTTGTATGTATTTTTTTTGTAGGGATAAGGTTTCGCCACGTTGGCCAGGCTAGTCTTGAACTCCTGAGCTCAAGTGATCCACCGGCCTCAGACTTCCAAAGCGCTGAGATGACAGGCGTGAGCCACTGTGCCCAGCAAGCATCTTTAACAATGGGCTGTGCCTTGCATATTTTTTTGTTATCATTGGTTTCTAGTTTATAGTAGCTGCTTAATAGTGTTCAAATAAATGAGTACTGACTACTGACAAACTGCTAGGAAAAAAGTATTCCTCTTCTGGCCTTAGTATTGTCTCATCCTTCTACTCTTGGTTAAATTCACCCTGATTCTAGATTTTTACTATGTATACTTTTCTACCAGTTTATTACATTTTTATTATATATTTACTCAAATTCTTTGTGGAGGTAACACACACACACACACACACACACACACACACACACACAGAGAGAGATTTCCCTTTTTCCAGCTAAGCTCACAGAAAGAGTGGTACTAAGTAATTTGAATATGGGATGGTCTATCTGCTCCTTTAGCTAGAATACAATGTCCCTGCTCTTGGGACAGGAAGGAACCTGAGTCATTTAGGTCACACTCCAAATGTTTTATCATTTCAGTTGTTGAAAAACACCATGCAGATAGAAAGGAAGTTATTTTATCTTGAAGTAACTCTTCAGGGCATGCCTATGGGAGAGTCACTCCTCCAGAACTTAATCATCCCAGTTTTGCTCTTCACACCTTTGGCGGCTTCTTGTAAGGTATGAATGTGTGTTGGGTTTCATTTTGACTCTGCCCACAAGAATGGTTCCTATCTGTAAGTTAAAATGCTAATGAATTCTTACAAAGCTCTGACTTTCAACTGCAAAGTGATCAAAAGAACTATTTAAAACTGTTTGAGTCTTTCTGCAAGTTTACCATCACTGCTATTGCCGAAACTTTATTTTGCTAGATATGTTCATGCTTTTCTCTTGCTCCTAGCAATGTAATTTAGGTTATTCCTCATGGCTTTTAGAAAATGGTTCTCAAGGTTGAAAAAATAGGTGAATGTCTTGCTTTGGAGGTTGGAAGAGGGATAGCCAACCCCCCAAGCAAAATAGAACTGTGTTTAGTGTTATTTGGTTTAGAGCTATGTCCAAAAGCAAGATTGACTTGTGTATTATTATAGTTATCTATTGCTGTGTAACAAGTCACCCTAAAATTCAGTGGCTCGAAACAGCAAATATTTATTATCTCAGAGTTCCTGTTGGTCAGGAATTCAGGAGTATAGCTAAATGGTACTAGCTCAGTCTTTCATGAGGTTGCAGTGGCGATGATGGCTATCACTACAGTCATCTGAAGGTTCGACTGAGGCTGCAGGATTTGCTTCCAAGATGGTTCACTTATATGGCTGTTGCCAGAAGGCCTACATTCTTTGACACATGATTCACTCCATAGGGCTGCTTAAATGTCTCTATAACAGGGCAGCTGGCTTCCCTCAGATAACAAGGAGGAAGCCACAATGCCTTTTATATTCTAATAATGGATGTCAGTATGATCAATTGTGTCACATTCTATTCATTAGAAGTAAGTCACTAAGTACAGCCCACAATTCAGGGGAGGAAAATTAGGCTCGACTGTTTGAA